GCTTCACAAGACCTTTTTAAAGTGTTGAAGAGCAAAGATGTCAGCTTGAAGACTAAGATGCGCCTGACCCAAGCTGTGATATTTCAATAGCTTCATATGCATGTGAAAGCTAGACAGTGAATAAGGAAGACCATAGAAGAATTGATGCTTTTGAGTTATGGTGTTGGAGGAGAATATTGAAAGTGCCGTGGGCTGCCAAAAGTGCAGTTAGAGTGCTCCTTGAAGGCCAAGATGACCAAACTTCGTCTCTCATACTTTGGATATATAGTCAGGAGGGAACAGTCACTGAAGAAAGATATCAGGTTTGGTAAGGTGGAGGGTCAGAGAAAAAGAGAAAGACCCCCAACGAGATGGTTTGGGTAAATGGCAGCATCGATGGACTCAAGAGTGGCAACAGTAGTGATGTTGCCCCAGGATTGGGCAGTGTTTCGTTCTACTGTACATAAGGTCGCTATAGGTTGGTACCAACTCGATGGTACCTAACAACAACAACAATTATTATCATGAATAATTGTGATTGTCACAGTTGTAATGGTAGAAGGTGCACAACAAAAAGGATGGAGTGATTGATCTTGCATTCCAGCAACAGTAGACCTGGGACCAGCAAGAAGGAAGAGTATGGGAGGAGCTTGGGATCCTAACCAGAGAGGCAGCAACACCAGAGTTGGAGGCAGAGACAATGGCATTGAGAGATTGAGCATCTGAGGACTCTAGACTCATGCAAAGGGAAAGGCTGTGTGCTGATGGGCAAGCGCTGGTTTGCAAAATGTGTCCTTTGGTTGTTTAAACAACTATATATTCCTGTGTGTTTTTGTATACATCAAAAAAGGGGATTGTAATCATTACAGTGAAACAAGATGTGATTGGTTGAATGCAAAATGATGTTCTGCCATGTAGACTATCACTCAATTCACAATAAAAGCTTTTGAAAAAAAGATCTAGAAATGTTCTGTTTGACACTGGATGTTACACCATTCCTCTTGAATTTGTCTTTCCCGGCATAGTAAACCATATGATTTTCAGATTTGAAATGGCCAGTAGCAGTCCATCCCATCTCACTAATGCCTAGGATATTGATCTTCATGTGTTCCATTACATTTTTACAATTTCCAATATCCTAGATTCATACTTTGTATATTGCGTGTTCTGATTATTAATGGGTGTTTGCACCTGTTTCTCTTCACTTTGAGTTTTGCCCCATCAGCAAATAAAGGTCCTGAAAGCTTTACTTCATTCACATCATCACTGTCAACTCTACTTTGAGGAGGTGGCTCTTCCCCACTTATATTTTGAGTGCCTTCCAACCTGCAGGGCTCAACTTCTGGCACTATATCTGACAATGTTCAACTGGTGTTCATAAGGTTTTCGGTGGCTCAACATTCAGAAATAGTCCACCTCTCCTCCCTCCCTCCTAGTCTGTCTTAGTCCGAAAGCTCAGCTTAAACCTGTCCACAATGGATGACCCTGCTGGTATTTAAAATACTTTTGGCATAGCTTCCAACATCAGAGCAACATACAAGTCACTACAGTATAACAAACTGACAGATGAGTGGTGGTCAGTTTGCCTATTTCTCTCATTTCTCTGTGGTTAAACCTTGTTGTTGTTATATTGTTAACTGCTGTCAAGTCGGTTCTGACTCAGTGAGCCTGTATAGGATTTTCAAGGAGCAGCTGGTGAGTTTGAACCACTGACCTTGTGGTTCAAACCGACCTTGCAGTCCAGTACTTTATCTCACAGCACTTGGTTATTATAATTAAACTTCTGAAAATGAAAATGAGATTAAATAGACAACTGAAAGTATTAGTGAAGGGGGTGATGGTGGTGGTTATGTGCCATGGAGTCAGTTCCGACTCATAGTGACCCTGTACAGGGTTTCTGAGCCTGTAAATCTTTATGGGAGCAGAAAGCCTCATCTTTTTCCCATGGAACAGCTGGCAATTTCAAATTGCTGACCTTGAGGTTAGCAGCCTGACTCGTAACCACTATGCTATCAGAGCTCCTTAGAGAAGAGGGTAGGAATTATGAAAGGGAAATTTATTTAACTCATCAGAATTCGTTTCTGTATTTTTTCCTTTTTGTCGTTGTTTGCAGCTTGAGGAGTTAAAGTAGTCCAAAAATTAATTTAGTCTTAAGCTCACCAGCTGCTCCTCGGAAACACTATACAGGGTCAGTATGGGTTGGAACCGACTCGACGGCACTTAACAACAACAACAAGCTACTGTGAAGTACAAGGATTTCTGGTAGCATGGTGGTTACAAGGCGGGCTGCTAATCTCATGGTCAGCAGTTAGAAACTACCAGCTGTTCCGAGGGAGACAAGTGAGAATTTCTGCTCTAGTAAAAATGTACAGCCTTGGAAACGCTATGCACAGTCTTTATGAATTGGAACAAACTCAACAGCACATAACCATCACCATTATGAAGTATAAGGAGCCCTGGTAGTGTAGTGATTTAGGAGCTGGACTGCTAACTGCAAGGTCAGTAGTTCAAATCTACCAGTTGCTCCATGTTAGAAAGATGAGACTGTCTGCTTCAGTAAAGATATACAACCTCAAAAATCCTATACAGGGTTGCTATGAGTCATAACTGACTGTGGCACACAACCATCACCACCACCACCATGAAGTATAAAAATACACCAAATGCTTATTCCATCACTAATTTATGAGTTGGTACCACTGTTGAGTTGAACTAGAGAATGGCTGTTTTGTTATTACTTTTGAAATGTTGTTGTTGTTCTGTTGTTAAGTGTCCTGGATTCAGTTCTGACTCATAGAAACCCTGCATAGGGTTTCTGAGAGCAGCTGATTGATTTGAACCACTGATTAACAATCCAGTGCTTATTCTGCAGAGTCACACCTGTTTAAAATAATGTCCTCTTTTTTTGTCTATTCCTAGAAATAAAAATGCCCCACCTGAATACCCAGTGCTGTCATCTTTCTCCATCCTTTGTTATTTCCATCTTGGAACAGTCGTCAAAGGATCATTTTTAATCACTCTGGTGAGGATTCCAAGAACCATTCTCCTGTACCTTTACAACATCCTGAAAGAGGAGGTAAGGCCACACCCTAATCCATAGCCCTCGGTACTTGGATTGAAGGAAAGTTAATACCAGACAACTACAGTGGGCCCAGGACAGGAATGGGAGCAGATGGCTGTGTTACTCAGGCCTCCCTCCTCACCCCCATCCGCCAACAAACCCCTTTTTCCCAGTCTCAATTTTGTTCATGATTTTATTCATTGTGCTTTCTCCAGCATGGTGGGCATTGGGTGGGAAGAGAGATATCTAGGAGTAGTTTCCAGTTAGCTGGGCTCCCTTTTAATTGAAAGGCTGAACAAATGGAATGAATTCTTAAGAAAAATAAATAAATACGTTTTGGTGGACATTCATCATGCTTTTTTTTAAAAAAAAAAAAAAAAGAAAGAAAGAAAATACATTATCTGATAAGGAGTGATGTTTGTTTCTGTTTTAAAATGAAAACATTCCCTTCCTTTGGTGTTTTCTGGAGGGTGCCAAAAGAAGTTCCTGCAATGTGGGAGGAAGGGCGGGAGAGAGAGAGTGTGTGTGTGAATGAGTGTGTGTGTGTGTGTGTGTGTGTGTGTGTGTCCCTGCTCTTGTGAAAGAGAAATGGGCAAACTGACCTAAATCTCAGCTCAGAGGACAGAAAACTGTAGGGCTTTTGTGCTTGGGGATTTTTCTCCTCCCTGGTTTTTATTTCCATGCACATTTGGTTATGAATGCCAGTGGAAACCAGAACACCAGGAAAACAGCTGTTCTCATGGTATTTCTGGCCTGCTAAACAAGGGAAGATTGGATTTTTTCCAACTCCACTGTTCTCACACAATGTTAATCTCCCCCCATCCCCACGCCAGGGCTGGTGAGTTGCTTAGAGTTTCCCAAGCTTACCTGGTTCCAACCTTTTGTGTACAGCTCTGTGTTCTCAGTAAATTGGGGAAATCTACACATTGGTTCATAATTATATTGTAGAATTGTTCTTCTTTGCCCTTTTAAATTGAAATCAGAATTGTTGATATTTTTACATCCATAATGATGGTTTAAGAGTGACAGATTAATTAGAAACAATTGATTGAATTTCATATAAAATTATTTCATTTCCTTTTCTTGAAGTATATGTTAAAAAATTACCTCTCATCATAGAATATTTTCCCATATTTCTGTTAAATTGTCATCTAGCTCCCTTTTGTTTACTTTCTACTCTCTTGAAAACTCATTTCCACAGCCAGCACAAACCTGGCTGACTTCTGGTTCCTGTGCTTTAAAATTGAGAGAACTTGTAGAAGGATTTCTTGAAAATGAGAACAAGTTTGTATTTTACATATATTCATGTATATAACAACGTTATATACATGAATATGTGTAAAATTAAAATTTTTAAAAAGGAGCTCTGGTAGCGTAGTGGTTACGAATCGGGCTGCTAATCTCATGGTCAGCAGTTCAAAACTACCAGCTGTTCTACAGGAGAAAGATGAGGCTTTCTGCTCCCATAAAAATTTACAGCCTCGGAAACTCTGTACAGGGTCACTATTAGTCAGAACCAACTCCACGGCACATAACAACAACATAATAATATTAGTATTCTTGTTGTTGTTGTTAAGTGCCATCTAGTCTGTTCTGACTCATAGCGACCCTGTATGGTAGGGTTTCCAAGGAGCAACTGGTGAGTTTGAAGCGGCAATCTTATGGTTCAAACTGACCTTACAGTTCATTGCTTTATCCTACAGCACCATACTAGGACTCTGAAACACTAGAAATAGACCATCAGAAATTAATAAGCAACTGGGGAGCTTGTGGTCCCTCCTATGGTTAACCATCTTAAGCTCTTTGGGGAGGCAGCCTTCCATAAATCTAAAAATAGAAGTTGATAAAAGACCCAAGGTCTCTGGCAGGGGTCTAAAAGGGTTTTTATCACTTCCAAGGTCTCCTAAGGGCCAATGGGCCCAAATCTTTTTTAATGATATTACTATCTTTTCTTAGTTTTAAAAGCAACTTGGCTTTCCTCAGCAGCCTTTCAGCTCAATACTGTTTCTACAACTTAAACATTTCATACAACCCCTGCTTGATCTTGAGTGCTTAAATAGACTCATTCACAACCACAGCCCACTGAAAACTATCCAGATCGGGTTTCATCCAATTGAATTAACATTGGAACAAGAAAATGTCCATATAAGGCTGGGTTATTCCTGGGGTCCTCGTAGAAGACTATTTTAGGATTGTTTCCAAGGAATTTTTTTTTTTTTTTTTTAAATGTGTTCAATCACCCTCCCCAAGAGTTTTATTTAACTACTTTTATATGAACTCAATAATGAGTTCAAACATAGCAGTGACTGTGCGGATGGTACAGGACCCTGGAAGGAAGCATTCATTCTGTTGTTAATAGAGTTGTTATGAGTTGAAATTGTCTTGATGGCACCAAACAGTAACAAAATTTACTCTTGAGATATTCACACATTCAAATCATCTTTGAAAGTACTCATTTATCCCCTGAAATTTAACCCTGAAAGTCTCAGGTAGGATTTCTTGCCCAAAATGTTAAACTTGACTCTTCTTTAATGCATGCACACAACTGGTATGTACAATGGGTTACATGGTTTTATTATCTCTAGGAAGAGCCCTGGTGGTATAGTGGATTGAACAATGGGTTGCTCACTGCCAGGTGGGCTGTTCAAACCCACCAGCTGCTCCATGAGAGAAAGATGAGGCTGTCTGCTTCCATAAAGAATTACAGTCTCTGAACCCAATGGAGCAGTTCTACTCTGTCCTTTAGGATTGATAGGAGGCAGAATCCACTATTGATTGCAATGGGTTATCTCTGTAATGCAAATTTTTCTTGAATATAAATTTTTGTTTAAGAAAGCAAAGTTTTATAGGAAAGCAAGGGTTAGTTTTCCTTTGCCAGTGATTATAGATAAACCAGGTTCCCTTTCAGCAGCGATGGCAGCTAAACCTGCAAGAGAGCAGCTTTGTCCATCAGTACAGTAATAGTAATAATATATTAACAATAGTTATTATTACTCCCCATCCATTAATGTTGTTGTTAAGTGCAGTTGAGTCCGTTTCAACTCATAACGACCCTGTATGGGGTTTCCAAGGAACAGCTGATGGATTTGATCTGCCGACCTTGTGGTTTCCCAAGATCTAGTTCTTATTCTACAGAGCCACACCCAGGAGTTCATCCATTCATTATTAGTAGTTATTCTAAGGAATAAAGTGAAAGAATTGCTCTCACACTGAGTGGAAACTGCTGCAGTGTTTCCCCAGGTGAATGAATTTCCAAGTAGAGACAGTGTTTCCCTTCAGAAACTGCCTACTTGCCCTTTCTGCCTGTGTTGTTTTTGACTGTTCCTTTGTTTCTGACCCTGTTCCCACAGCGTAATGTATTGTCAAGGTGCCTGTTCAGATGCTGCTTCTGCTGTTTTTGGTGTCTTACCAAATGCCTTTACCATCTCAACCAGGTATGTCTCCCACCATGTGCCCCAGGAACCCACACAGAGGCAAAAGGGTGAGTTCTATCCTTTAGATCACGGATTGGCACATTTCTTTGTAAAGGGTCCGATTGTGTATATATTCTAGGCTTTGTGAGCCACAAGGTTTGTCTTACAACTGCTCCAACTCTGCTATTGTAGAGGGAAAGCAACATAGATAAAATGTAAATCAGTGGGCAGACTAAGTTTCAGTAAAGCTTTATGGACACCAAACATTCAATTTCATATAACTTTTATGTATCAAGAAATATAATTCCTTGGTTTTTCAAGTCCCTTTACAATGCAAAAATCAAGCTAACTAAATGAAAGCACAGAGCCTGTGGAGGTAGCCTCTGAGTGGCAATTTTGCAGACCCTGTTTTAGGGCCTAGATTATGAAAGAGATGCTTCAGAATCGGTGGGGTGGGGGGATGCATTTCTCTTTTAAGAAATAAAAAGGGGAGAAAGACATTAGCCAACTAAGAGCCAATTTCACTGTCTTCTCTGAGAACTATAATTTTTCTGAAAAAAAAAAAAAAAAATCAGTACCTCCCTAATTTAGATATAACTTATTCCAGTCTTTCTCTTTCAAGCTATAAATAGTCCTTATAAAACTAAAACATGACATACTGCAATTGTTTGAATTTCAGGGTTTTTCCCTTCTAAGCCTGTGTCTGCTCAGACCCCACTTATTCCACAAAGATTTTCAAGTTGATGGAAGTTTAAATATATGTTTTGTTTTTCTGAAGATAATTTAAGAAATTTTAATAGCCCTTAGTCAAATTTACAGAAAACAGTGTTATTGTAAGTCAGCATGCTGTTGTAAATGTTCATAGAAATTTCTCTGTAAAAAATACTTATTTCCTCTCTTCCTAAAAGATGTACCATTAGAAGAAAAGAAGCTGACTAAACCATCCATGTTTAATGTCTTATAAGTGGTATTTAGAACACCTTTTATTTTTTAGAGGAAAATACAGCCTTCTTACAGGAAAGCACTGTTATTAAGGCACTTCTTGAAAGAATTAAGACCCTTGCAGTATATTTTAGAGTGTATTTAGTTTTCATTTGGATGACTACAATCCGGCAGACATAAAGCACCCAGTAGTGGTTTACTGGCAGAATCCTCACATTTTATGTCATTAATCTGGGTTCAGTTCCGTACCAATGCACTTAAAGTATGCCATCACCCATCTGTCACTGTAGGGTTGCATGTTGCTATGATGCTGAACAGGTTTCAGTGGAGCTTACCAACTAAGACTAGGAAGAAAGGCCTGGCAATCTACTTCTGAAAAACAGCCGGTGAGAGCCCTGTGAATCACAGCAGTCTGACCCCCTCCCTCCATAACTGGTCGTGGGGATGGTGCAGGACAGCACAGTGTGTTGCTGCGTTGTGAATGGTGTCCCCATGAGTTGGAGACTTTCTAGACAGCAGCTAACAACAACAAAATCCCACAGCACTTTTCAGAATGGGGAGCCATATCCCAAGTCACACCTAACCTTATGAATGCTCCCATCGTGGTGTAACATGCCTGCTTTTCTTACTGTGCGTCTGCTCAGACCCTACTTGTTCCACAAAGATTTGCAACAAGGTATTAACTATGATAAAATATGAACACATGAAAAATCGAGGTTAGGAAAATGTCATTAAGTGCTGCTGAATCAGTTCTGACTCACAGCAACCCTTTAGGGTTTCCAGTGAGCAGCTGGTGAGTTTGAACCGCTGACATTGTGTTTCACAGTCCAGAGATGATCCTACAGCACCATGCCAGGAGTCCTAAGAAAAAAATACAGCCTAGAAATACAGAACAGCATGAACTACTGGTACATAGATATGTGTGCCATGTTGTCCTGCGAGGTCCTGGGATTTATTTGCCGTCTCCTTTTACGATATTACATAAATTCATGTTCTCTCCTTGTTCTTTTTTCACTTATGATTTTTAAATTGCTCCAGTGAAGCTGAGTGGTCTCCTTGTGGATGCTGCAAGGACCACCACTTAAGGAGGGGAGGCAAATGGCAAAGGGGAAGGTAGGAAGGGCTCTGACTTGAAATCGCCACCACCCTACCCCACATTCCAACTAGAGTAGTAGCTTCACTACTTGAGTCAAATTCCACTGAAGGTTTTATTTGAAGACAAGCCTCTGCTGCTAAAATACACTTGAAACTCACTGTTTCTTATCATTTTCCTGTTTATTTTATCCGCCCTGTTATTCTGAGGAACATGAATTCTGCCTTCTGAAATTCTGCTCACTTAAATAGTTTGCATCCTAGTGTGGCGCTTTAGGATAATACTAGACTGCTAATTTCGAAGTCGGCGGTTCAAAACCATCAGCTGCTCCTTGGAAACCGACTTGATGGCACATAACAACAACAGTTTGTGTACATCTACTAACTGAAAGGTTGGTGGTTTGAATCTGCCTAGTGGCACTGTGAAAAAGGGCCTGGTGAAGTATTTCTGAAGAGATAGTCTTGTTGTTGTTAAGTGTCATCGAGTTGGTTCCATCTCATAGCAACCCTATATAGGGTTTCCAAGGAGCAACTGATGTGTTTGAACTGCCGATCTTTTGGTTCAAACGAACCTTGCTGTCTGGTGCTTATCCACACCATGATTGCAGCCATTGTAAACCCTGTGGAGTATATTTCTACATTGACACTCATGGGGTCATCATGAGTTGGAATGAATTCAATGGCAATGGGTTTGTTAAACCCAGGACTTCACTTGGGAGTTTACGCTGTTTCTAAGACCATTGTTGTTGTTATGTGCCGTGGAGTCGGTTCCGGCTCATAGCGACCCCGTACAGGGTTTCAGAGGCTGTAAATCTTTACGGGAGCAGAACACCTCATCTTTCTCCCGCGGAACAGCTGGAAGTTTCGAACTGCTGACCTTGTGGTTCACAGCCCAATTCATAACCCCTATGCTACCATAAGTAGTGTTAATACTAGCTGCACTATAATTACCACTGTAAAGGTGGCACATCCTCATTACAGTGGGAGTAATTGTCTCTGAATCACAAAAAAGCTTAGCTAGCCTTGATCCAACTCCCATAGTGAATCAATGCTTCAAACTGTGCACTAGGCCTTGCCTTAAACCAGCTGTCCTAGCATCTTTACCTTGGGATAAACCAACTCCTACAGAACTAGGGAACCCCAGCTGCTAGAGGTACCACGGATAGACCTACAATTTAGTAGAGAAACAGAAAGAATTAGTGTGAAGAAGGGGTGTTGTTGTTGTTGTTAAGTGCTGTTGAGTCGGTTCCGACCCATAGTGACCCTGTATAGGGTTTCAGAGGAGCAACTGGGGAGCTTGAACCGTTGACCTTGCAGTTCAAACGGCTTTGCAGTCCAGCGAATTAACCCACAGCTCCATATGGTGTACTCGGGTCTAAACTGACTACTAGAAAGCAAAGTAAAAAAATAATGTTAAGGATAAAGATGGTTATTGTATAATGATAATCAAATCTCTTCTCTATCTCGTTTGGCAGTAGACAAAGGAAATGAGCTTAAATGAGTGAGAAAAGGAATTTAGGCTTTCTGAAAATTTTCCTGGCATTGGAATGAGTTACTAGGGGAAGTTTTGGCATCTCCATCTTTGGAAATCTGATTTAAAAGATCTGAGGCCTATTTTATTTTCCTTGTTTTATGGACTAGGAGCCTGGGAATGCAAAAAAGAGAATGGTATCCATTTGTTACCATCAAAACCCAGATGTTCTTCTTTATTTAACATCAAGGAGCTGGTTGGGTTTTACCACTGCTTTTGAAAGCCTCTTCTGTCTTCCCTGAGTCCTGGGAGGGAGGCAGATGGCAGTGACTCTATCTTATAGCTACTCGGCCTGAGGCTGCACGCTGACTCATTGCAGAGTGGGACATGAAATCCCACCCTCATAATTTCTCACTACTCGTCTCTCTACATCATGCTTGCCAAGTGTGTGCATACTTGAACAAATTGGTTAAGAACACTTCAGACAATCATTCATCCAACAGCCATTTGTTCCTTGTTTATTGAGTTTGCGTCATTTGTTTATTAACCTTGGGCATTACGGGGAGGGGACCACAGGGATGCAAAATAAGTGTATGGCACAGGCCTTCAAGGAGACGATCCAGTGAGGGTGGGGGAATGATAAGAGGATGTGGATTAGACATTCACATTCATATTCATATCCAGCACAAAAGAGCCATGGAAGTTGAAATCCTGCTTAACTCGTGGAGGTCTAACTTTCTTAGTACTGGGTGGCTTTAAAAATCAGAAATATATTCTCACAATTTAGGAAGCTGGAAGTCCAAGTCAGGATGTTAACCATGCTGTTTCCTTCCTGTAGGCAGTTCTGACATCCTCACATGATGTCTGTCTTCCTCTGAGTGTACTCTGTATCTAACCTGATTGATCCATTTAGAACCCACCCTACTCATGTATGTTCTAATTAATACAAAAAACCCTAAAACATCAAATCCATTTCTGTCCAGTGGACCAGCTCCTAGTGACCTCCGACAGAGTATAACTGCCCCATGTGGCTTACAAGGCTACGAATCTTGAAGCAAGTCAACTGCCATGGCTCTCTTCTGCAGAGCAGCTGGTGGGTTCTGTCAGTTAGCAGCCAAGTGCTTAACCACTGCACCACCAAGACTCCTTAGTTTACATAAAGAAAAGTCTATTTCCAAACAAGGAGTCCCTGGGTGGCGCAAATGGTTAAGGACTCAACTACAGATTCAAAATGGGAGAAAGACATGGTAATCTGCTTCTAAAAGGTCACAACCTTAAAAATCTTGTGACACAGGTCTGCTCTAAATACATAGGATCGTGATGAGTCAGAATAGACTCAACAGTAGCTGGTCTGATGATTTGGTTTGGTGTTTTCAAACAGGATTGTATCCACAGATGTAGGAGTTAGGATTCCATCATACATTTTGGTGGTGATGGTTTAGTCCCGTGGAGTCAGTTCTGACTCATAGTGATCATGTATAGGGTTTCTGAGGAGTGATTGGTGGGTCTGAACCAC